CGCCTTTATGCTTGATTAATAGCCAATGACAGGAGAGAAAATAAGAACATGTCACTTCCCCCCCTTCAACTTGAATGACAAGTAAGAAGGAAATGAATTTTGCTTCTTCACCTACCCACCTTAATGAATGAATGACGGGAATTTCCCCTTCTTGCTTGAAACGTTCTAGTTCAAAATGGCGGAGAGAGCAATTATATTTTCATAACTGTAAATTTTTTTAGTTTCCCATATTTATTTTTATAATAGCAATAATTATTTTTTTTAAAATATTTTGTTTTTGATTGATTAGATATCATTCTAATACTAAAACATTATTGCCCGAAAAATAACGTTATTTAATTTCAGCTTCTTAGATTCAGATCATTTTAATCTCTGTTTACCTTGGGGGTCTATTATACGGAAAAATCGATTATCCGGACTTCGGAAAGTCCCGCCGATTCCGGATACGCGACTTTCCACTGTAGAATAAATATTTTCTTGGATGCAAAACTTGAGAAATAAACTTTTTTGCACCGTTGGTATGTTAAATTTTACAGAAACGAAGAAATTAGATTTTTTTTTAAAGAAAGAAAAAAATTTTAAACCCATACAGATTTCTTCCGAAAATTGTCAGTAAAAAAATGACAAGTTGGTAACCACTGATATATATTTAAGTATTTTGGAATTTAATGCAATATGCATAAATCCCAAATAAAGGTACAAAAATGAACATCATAAACAAGAACCTTCCTCCGTGTCTAAAACAAAGATTTTTGTTTTTAGACTCTTTTTTTTTACTCTTTATATGTTATTTTATTTATTCTTAACTCTTGATTATCTTAATTTACAGATGTGATAGAAATGGATGCAAAAATAGCACCTCAAGAGAAAATCAGTTGCATTGTAAAGTGCAGTAAAAGTATTTTCAGTTTAATAAACCTTCAAGGTATCACAGCTAGTGCTGATGAGTTTCTACCTACCATGGTGTACATTGTTCTGAAAGCAAATCCTCCATTGTTGCAATCCAACATCAAGTATATTACTAGTTTTAGTCTCCCACCTAGACTAAGAAGTGGTGAAGGAGCTTACTTCTTTACAAACCTTGTAAGTTATCTAATTTAACTTAAATTACTATAATTTTTTAACAAACTCTTACTCTATATACAGTGAAACCTGTGTATAACGATACTGTCTATAACGATAAACCTGTCTATTGCGATATTTCCTTGAGGTCCCGGTGAAATTCCTATTTACTCAATGTATTTTTAACCTGTTTATAGCGATAACCACTTTTCAGTTAAACATGTCTACAACGATAATTTTTCCTCTTTTGATAGTTGATAGTAAAGAAATAGTTGATAGTTCTATTCCGATTTGGAA